CCCCCCCTCTCTCCCACTTCGCTTCCTGTCATGTCTGATCTGTCCTATCACAATAAAGGCAAAAATAAATAAATAAATAAAATAAAAAGTGTGAGACTTACTTCTTCTGGAGGTGCAGCTGGATAATGAACAATGGGTACTGATCCATCCTTGAGTTTTTACTTTTTAACAAAACCTGCCTTGAATTGTCCCTCATTCAGAAAGCAGTCTGGAGTAAAATGATTTGCGCAGCCAGACATAAACAAATTTAGTGAAAGTGAAGTGAAGTGACGTGGCCAAGTATGGTGACCCATACTCGGAAAAAGGAAATCACACCAGTGATGCACAATCACTTAAGGTATTAATGTGAAAACTTGCTCGTCTTATAACACTTCTTATAAGTTAATAGGTATAGCTATTGAGGTTGAACAAGACAAAACTCAGCAAATTTGACCCCCGCCCCCCCTCCCCACGTTTACATTTTTTTATGTAAACGTTATTGTAGAAATTTGAACACTAACCATCACAAAATGGATTTGAAGAATTTGTTTGCATTGTGAATAAAGATAAAGGACTGGATACAAATTCTGACCTCTGTCAAAATTGAATCAAGGCATTTTGGACATTGCTGAAGTGCAATATATCAAATGACACATTTCTAGCATTCTCTGGGACCTTTATTGAAGCTTCATTACATTTCTCTCAGTAAGGGTGATCACAAACATATTGCATAATGTATCTGAGAGCAAACCACGTCTCCCTTGCAGTGGAAACGATCTGGTCGGCAGGCAGGAGGAATCCATATTTACCAGTGTCACGCAACTCGAAAGCAAAATAATATTTGATGCCTCGTTGGTAAGCCCAGTCAACACTTGCACCACTAGCTGGTTCTGAAAAAAAACATGCATTTTGCAATACTGAGACCATTTTTTTTCTAACCCTTTTCATGCAAATTGACCTTTCAAATCAACACATTCTACCATAACAAACCGACGCAGAAACAAACTCATCAATATCTTCAATGGCCTTGAGGGTGATTAAACTGTCACATTTTCATGTTTGAGTGAACTCTTCTGTTTAGGTACATATTAGTACTTTTTGAAAGGGTACCGCCAACTTTTGTACCATTTTGTCTGAGCGTGAATGTGCTTTACTTGTTGTTTTGCATGGACAAAGTTTCCAAGATCTTGAATATTCGTCAGTAAGTATTGATAAATAAAGCACATTGTTGTCTAATTAAGCATACTTATTATTTTGGTAAATAAATTTAAAACCAAAGTGGAAAATAGGCCATAGCTATGTAGCGTTTGAATGAGAAAAGATGAATGGATTATTTATGAATCATGATTACGATGATCATAAATCTTGCCGAATATGGTCACTGAATGCAATTTGTACTAAAATGTATTCAGTGTAATGTAAACCAATGACAAAACCATGCATAGTCTAGAACACAGACAAATAAAAATAAAAGTTCTTAACTAGCATCAATAGTATGAAGAACCTTTAACATCCATGGAACCTTTTCACTGGACAAAGGGATCTTTATAGTGAACAATCCTAAAGATTTTTTAGAACTATAAAGATTGTTTAGATTATTAAAATCGCTAAAAATCATTCTCATTACTGCAAAACACACTTTTAGTAATCAATACTTTTTAAATGTGATATTCCATGTCTTGGTAAGTGGTTAAAACAGATCCACTTCCACAATCCACTTACCAATAGTGTGGAAGATGCTTCCAACTTTATAAACGGTGCCATGCCAGGAATTGAGGGCTTTGCTTGCCTGTGAGGCCACATCATGCTAGAAAAAACACACAAAAAATATCACTGTGAGATCATAAAACAGACAAGATTCAGAAAGCCAAGACTAGAGAGGTTTATGGGAGTAGATTTGCTTACCAGTTCAGTCTGGTCAGGAGCATCTGTGCCACTGTAGCCATACGGATACATTAAGAGCTGCATGTAAGAGTGGAGGGTCATGAAGGATTTGAAGTTGCCGTGGTTCATGATCAAATCTGCAATGTTTTTCACTTCAATCTCAGATTGAGCAGAAGGGCCGCGGTAGTCTTCAGCGCAGGGGTCATCGCTTGCTCCAGGACCTGGAGAAAAATGTAGACGACATTTAATAAAGCAAAGTAATTCGGATCTGTTGAAACAAGAGAAAATGACTATATGAATTTACCACCAAATTCAGCATTCCAGTTTCTGTTGAGGTCGACGCCGTGGCATTTGGGGTTAGAGGTCGCAGACCGGCTCTTACGCCAGAAACGGTAAAACTCCTAAAGTAATGTTAATTAACAATATATGCAATTACAAAAGCTTATAAAATGCTTCTAAATATTTATTTGTGCTTTATGCAAACCAGCGAATGGCTGCTTACACTGGAAGAGCAGTGAGTGAAGACATATCCATCAGGATTGGCCACAATCATCAAGTAAATATCCATTTTACTAAGGATACTGGGCACAGGGGCACGGTTTTCCTTAAAGTCTGTGGCAATCTACAGAGTCAAAAAGTTTAGAATGTTAAAAGGATGTTAAAAAAATGAAAATAATAATACATTTAAAAGTTTACATAACAGTACATAAAAATAAAAAATAAAATAAAAGATCTTGCTAAAACGTTCATTGCGGCTGCACATGAGCTCTCTTTCTGGAAAATTTAAAAATAAATAAATAAATATTAAATAATAAAAGATCTTGTTACTGCACATACCATTAAAATAAAAAATAAACTGAAATAAAATCTTGCTAAAAAGAATCTCTAAGCATCCATTTATTAATGGACCTTTTACCTGACAATTGGCATCTTAAACAGGGTTGTTGAATTTATTTATTTATTTTTTAAATGGAGCTCATGTATAATAGCAAGTAAACTACAAAAACTAAATGTGCTGGCAAATATCATATTTCCTGTCAGAAAAGAAAAATAAGAAAACAGCTCTGAATGTACTATGACAAACAGACTGAAACAAACACTAAAGCTACACTCTAAAAAATGCTGGGTTAAATAGGGACAAACCCAGCAATTGGGCTGTTTTGACCCAGCGGTTGGGTTAAATGTTTAACCTAACCTTCTGGGTAGTAACCCAACCGCTGGGTCAAAACAGCCCAATTGCTGGCTTTGTCCCTATTTAACCCAGCACTGGGTTGTATTTAACCCAGCATTTTTTAGAGTGTATCATTCTTCACCAATCTCACTCACCCTGTCAGCAAGCCACACTGCGGTAGCATGAGAAATCCACTCCCTCGCATGGATTCCAGCATCAATCCAGATTGCAGGTTTTTTCTCTCCACCAGTGCTGAACTGGATGCATTGTAAATATACAAAAAAATCAGGTATAGTGATAGATATCAGTCTGTAATCTGAGTTTATAAGCATATGACCTGTTTACCTTCAAGATATACATGGGACGGTTCTCATAAGTGCTGCCAATATTCACTTTAGTGATCAGTTTAGAGTGACTTGCAACAAGGGTGTCCATAAAATTGTAAATCTGAAAGGAATAAAAAGAAATTCAGATGCTTTGTTAGGTTATAAATATGGTTGAACATGGATTTTTGCAAAAGTCAGAACATGTACTTACAGTCTCCAGGTCATGATAAGCAGCAAAGTTGAAGCTCCTGGTCTGGCGTTCCACTTCTGCATTGCAAACCATTTCTTCTCTCTCTCTGACCAAAAGTTCCTGAGACACAGAAAAAGTTGTGTATTACGATTACTTTACTGAAAAATCACAACTATTGGAATTTATAGGATCATAATCAATCGCTGATCTTCTTCTACAAATTGCGCAAAGGCTAATAATCTTATTTTGTGTATAGATTTCCATAAATAATTCACCTGCACATTGTTGATTATGACAGTGAAAGGGATGTTGTTTTTCTTGAGGAAGTCCTTGACAGCATACAGACTGGAGTGAGGCACACGGATGTCAACAGGTTGCTCAGTAGAGACGGCATGAGTCCAGAAATCCAGCTAGAGGATCGCATAATACATATTCCACAATCTGGGAGATTTCCATGTCAAATTGCATATATGTGATCAAATAAGAATTAAAACATGTAACAAGAGGCATTTAACAGATAGCCTACCCCAGAATCCACGTCCCTTTCCAGCTTTTTCAAAATCTGAATGTGGTTTTCAGATTCTGCATGGATTCGGAGAACTTGGTCTCTATTAAGAAAGAAAAAAGACATTTTAAACAAGAAACAAGGCTGATATACATTAATAAGTCATAAAAGAATAAAAAAGTATCTCTAATTACCCATTAAAGAGCACCTCGCAGTGAACTGCTGCCAAGAGCGCAAAGACTGCTAGATAGAGTGTCATGTTCTCCTGTTCTGGGAATGATCTCTCCTGTAGGTCTCTGCTCTTATACACTCACAGACATATGTTGAGTTCTCAGTAATATTAGTGCTGATGCAGGTTAATGTGACTTTTGTCACCTGATGCAGCCAACTTTTGTATGTGTATCTGCTCCAGGTGTGCATTGCTTTGTGTTTCTCAGTGAAAAAAAGAAGAAGAAGAGGGACAAAGAAGAGTTTCAACTCACATCAAATCCACTTTATAGCGTGTATAAATCAAGAGTGAAAGATACTAGTCTTCAGAACTGCTCATGTCAAGGCCGAAGGTCAAGATTATCTGGGTATCCGCTAATTTACTTAGTCTCAAACTTAAATATATTTAGCATTACTTGGATTTTAATCAATTCTTTAAATGTGCAAACAATGACAATCAAATGCTAGCCTTTAAAAAGTCATTCTGAAATATATGTCTACAAAAGTAGGGTACTAGGAGACATAGCATGTGGTCCAACAGGGTTTCCCATTGTGAAAATTACCTTTTATCTTAATATTTAGTCTTGGACGTTTAATAGGATTAAATATGTTTTCTTACAGTTGTTCACAATTACAACTTTTTAAGAATCAATAACCTACTGCACACAGTAGGTCATAAAGTCTGTTTGAAGTCAAAGCTCAAGAAACAGATAAATGGGCGGAGCCTTAACTCGGACGTGACGCTTCAAATCACGTGATCCCTTAATCCTTGTCAGCTGACGCTTGGCGGAACTGTAGTTTAGTAATATAAATAAAGTAGTGGATAGGTTAGTTTAGTAGTTCCAAAGTTAGTCTTAAATATTTCCTTTGATAAATCTCTCTTAAGATCGCAGTCAGCGCCTTAAAAACATCAGCCATGGCGCTCAGCGATGCCGCCGTACAGAAACAGGTAAGAAAAACAGAAGTTCATAAGCTAAGTTTAGAGTTTATTTAATTAACCATTATATTTCAGATCAGGTATTGTAAATGATAAAAATGTCTGTTGTAAGTCTCATGACACGAATAGCTGCACTTTTGAAGTACCATTACTTTTATAACGAAACATTACAGGCACAAATCTGATGCAGTACGTTTAGGATACAGTTTTTATACTGTATATGTTTTATAAACCAATAATAATAACTAATAAAAAAAATCAACAGTGTCATTATTTTGGCATAATCTGAACTGATATTTAGATAATTGTCATAAACATTTTTTTAAGAATGTGAAAGTGATTGTCTCATTACTTTTAAATCACGTTTTAAAACTCATCTTTTAAAATCAGCTTTAATCATAGGATTGCATTTTAATAACGCTGATGTTGTTTATTATATTTGTTATGAATTATATATTGTTTGTAAGGTGTTTTGAAAGGCGTGTATAAATAAAATGCATTATGTTATTATTATTTATTGTCTTGTACTTGTAGCTAGACATCTCTTTATATTCCATTCACTTTGAGGAGGACAAAGGCACCATCTCGAATCTAGATTGCATTAATTAATATTGTGTGAGTGTTTAATGCTGTGTATTATGTAGCCAAAAGAGGAAATCTCTGTCCTTCAGTTGTCCAGCACACATCCATGGACTTTCCCAACAGCACTGATGAAACATTTTCAGTCTCATTTCCCCATCACTATCTACCCTCATCGCCTTTTATTTTATTACATCATCTCAATGAAGGATCAGAGGGGCTTGGAAACTCTTACATTGTAATTTAACCTTGCTTTGCTCTTTTATTGACACCGATCTCCTTGCATCTCTCCAGATCAAACACATGATGGCCTTTATTGAGCAGGAAGCCAATGAGAAGGCAGAAGAAATAGATGCAAAGGTAAAGTATAAATGCAGTGATTAGCATAAGTGCATGAATATGGTCTGAATTTGTCTAGAGCATCATGTGTCTTGCGGCTTGCAGGCAGAAGAAGAGTTTAATATCGAAAAAGGACGACTGGTACAGACTCAGAGGTTGAAGATAATGGAGTACTATGAGAAGAAAGAGAAACAGATTGAACAACAGAAGAAAATGTGAGTTTTGGGTTCTTTAAATGAGTAACATGAGACCTTCTTTAGATTATTTAATAACGTCTCGCCTCCGTTCAAATCCACAGCCAAATGTCAAATTTGTTGAACCAGGCCAGACTGAAGGTACTCAAAGCCCGTGATGACATGATTAAGGTATGATGATTATGTCATTTTGACATTTCTATAGTTTTTACTTTTATAGAATTGCAAGAAATCTCACCTTCGTCTTCCTCATGTGATTCTTTGCAGGATCTCCTTAATGAAGCACGACAACGGATGGCCAACATTGCCAAAAACCCAAATGAGTACCCAACACTGCTGGAGGGGCTGGTGTTACAGGTCAGCTGATTTCTACTCGAAATAAATGCTGTTCTTTTTAACCTTTTATTCATCAAAGAATCTTAAAGTATCACAGGTTCCAAAAAATATTAAGCAGCATAACGGTTTCCAACATATTGTACAGCAGATAATAAATCAGCATATCAGAATGACTTCTGAAGACTGGAGCAATGATGCTGAAAATTCAGCTTTGCCACCACAGAAATAAATTACATTTTAAAATATATTAAAATATAAAACCTTTATTTTAAATTCTAATAATATTTCACAATATTACCATTTTTTTCTTGTATTTATTACTTTTATGATTAATAACTATTTTATTACATTTTCTTTTTGCCTTGGCAGGGATTTTATCAGCTGTTGGAGCCCAAGGTTATAGTTCGGTGCAGAAAGGAAGATGTAGCGATGGTGCAGGTGAGCTATATTTACCCTCAATCTGTTAACATCATATTCTGCAACGTGCATATCAACTATACAATCCTTTTACATTTTTAAAGAGGTTGATATACCTGTTCATAATAGGCTGCTGTTAAAAAAAACATCCCCATCTACAAAGAGACAGTAAAGAGTAATATTGAAGTGCGCATCGACGAAAACAACTTCCTGCCCTCTGACATGTAAGATCACTTATATATTCAGTTTTGTTAAAAAAGGCTTATTTATACGTAATTAGATGTGTTAATTGTTCATGCTTGGTATCCTCAGCTCAGGAGGTGTTGAAGTCTATAACGCCGATGGCAAAATCAAGGTATCCAACACACTGGAGAGCAGACTGGACCTTCTAGCGCAACAGGTAGAGAATCCAATCACATTGTAGAACAGGAAGAAACAGGATAAAAGCCGTTTGTTGTATTCAGGTCCTCGTGTTCTTCGCTTTTCTGTTTTCACAGATGATGCCTGAGATCAGAGTGCAACTGTTTGGTGCCAACCAAAACCGCAAGTTTATGGACTAATGGTCTGTTACTAAATGTGCTTTAGTGGTTGTTAGGAGAACGGTGAAATTCAAGAGCCCTGATAAAGTGACAACAAGGTTTGGTGGAAGTTTTTTTTTTTTTTTTTTAAGGTCACTGTGGATTTTCTGAAGTTTCTGTTGCAATTCAGGAAATTCAACTGATCATGTTTCAGCAATAATAATAAAAAAAACAAAACAAGCCAAAGAAAGTGGTTTAAAATGAAAGGCTTATCATGTGTGCTTATGTTACCTTATACCTCTCCTTTGAGTGTTTATTTAGTTTGAAAATCATGTCATCTGTAGTGAAAGTGGACACCTGATATCTTATCTCAGCCTGTTTGAACAAAAAGCTTTAAGCACTCAGGAATTTACATTGTTTTTGCTTTGAATGTCGTTAGCTAAGCTAGCAGCCTATCAGGTTTTCCCTGGAAAAGGGAAACCCTCATTCGATGTCTTAAAAAAAAATATGGATGCCTCTGTGCTTGTTTGTGTGTTTTCATTTGTTGTACAACTGCATTATACTACAGAGAAATAAATCAAATATATTTTATTTATATTTTGAAGCATTTCTGTGCCCATTACAATATAAACAAAACATTGCTTGTTGGTTACATCAAGTCAGAAATCTGACAGAGGCTTAAAGATGCTACATATACCTCAAACATTAAAAACACGCTGCCCTCTTGTGGAATTCAAATACACGAGATGCAAATCAGCATCAGTTGTGGTGCACAATCAATGTTTTGCATAATCAAATGACTCCAGACCATGTTTTCAAGAAACTTTCAAATACAAAAGCTCTTCAGTGATTTAATAAGCAGAGATGCCTATATCAGTCTTGCATATTTAATACAGATTGCTTGTTGCTCATTACAATTATTTAGTATAACACATGAATATGAAGCCTCTGAGATGTTTAATGTTAGGGAAATCAAGTCTTGTGTTCCAGGAATATGCCACTACATGCGTTTAAAAATATCTCTTTCTTGGTATTATTAAAATACTGTATTTGAAACAGAAATATCTTACATTTTTCTGCTATTGTTTCTTTTGACAGAAGTACACTCAAAATGAAACTATTCAAGATCTAATTTCTCTATTTTTCACTGTACCCTTTTCTACCCAATGTGAAAAAAAAACTCCAGCAAAATCAGTTCTCTACATAAGAAGCCACTGGTACTTGTATTTTGTTATTTTTCAGTGAAAAACTTGAGTGGCAAAGATAAGGCTTTGTTGCATTTTAATTTATTGTGCACTCAACAAAATCATTTAAAGAAGCATTAAATAATATTAGGTCAACATTATATAACCTACAAGGAATTTTGGACAAGGCCTCCGCTGTAATGTCCAGCAGTCTCTTCACAAGTAGAGACTGAGATTTACTGAGAGACGAGAACTAAAGGAGCCACCAGAATAGGTCAGCAAACACTAAACCCAGTTTCTGCTTCTTTTTTTTCTTTTTGCTGTTTAAATGGTGCAGTAGAAAGCCAGAACATAAATTTAGATGATACAGATACATCTAAACTTTGATTCAGGTCTCCTCTCTGTGGAAGCCCGTTTTTGCCACAGAATTTAAAAAAAATGTAAACGGTAATAGTGACTTTTTATCTCACAATTGGGATTTTTTTCTTGCAATTCTGAGACATAAACTCAAAATTGTGAGATTTAAACTAATAGAATTGTGAGATAAATTACCTTTTGTATTTTTTATTTGGTGGTGGGAAAAAAAACAGAATTGCAAAATGTAAACTCAGAATTCAGAGAAAAAAAGTCCCAATTTTGAGATTTAAACTCAGAATTTTGAGAAAAAAACAGAATTAAGAGAAATAAACTCAGAATTCTAAGCAAAGAAATTGTGAGATATAAACAAAATAAATATTGTCAGAATTGTGAGCTATAAACAGAATTGTGAGAAACAGATTACATTTGTTTCTACAAAAATTATTTTTTTAATTTTTTCATCCGATGGTGAAAAAAAAAAAAAAAAGATGCAAAATGTAAACTCAGAATTCAGAGAAAAAAAGTCCCAATTTTGAGATTTAAACTCAGAATTTTGAGGAAAAAAGTAAGAATTAAGAGATATAACATCAGAATTCTGAGCAAAAAAGTCAGAATTGTGAGATATAAACAGAACTACAAGATATAAACTCAGAATTGTGAGAAACAATCACAATTATCTTTTTTTATTTTTTCAATTGGTGGCGGAAACAAAAAACAATTGTGAGATATAAACTCAGAATTCAGAGGAAAACGTCAGAAGTGCAAGATATAAACGTATAATTGTGAGACATAAACTTGGAATTGCAAGAAAAAAGTCAGAATTGCGAGATGTTGCCTCACAGAATTGTGAGATAAATTACCTTTTTTATTTTTTTATTTGGCGGCGGGAAAACAGAATTGTGAGATGTAAACTCAAAATTCTGAGCACAATTCTGACTTTTCTTTCTTAGAATTGCAAGGAAATAAAGTCTGAATCGTAAGATAAAAAGTTACAATTATCATTGTTTTTTATTCCTTGGTGAAAATGGGCTTCAATACCTTTCTAAATACACATCGACCCTGTTCACAACCGATTATCACGAATCATGTTGGCTTAAAACTGATTGTAGCTATGGGCTTTAAAGACATAAAAACAATATTAATTGGACAAAAAACCCTGCCAGATTAGTCAGAACAGGACCCTGTCTTACCTAAAGAACCCTGCTTGTAGTTTTTAGGTACTTAAACATGGTTAGTGTGCAATATAGGCTATTATGTTAGCGTTACACAACCCTCCTCTGTTCTCCCAAAGTGTCTGAACCTCCTTTGGTTGGGTATGTGAATTTCCCTCCATATTTACCTCATCGCAAATAAAGTCGGGGAGCTTCTTTTATCATCATTTTATCTTCTTTTAACCATGTCTTCCTTCATCTCTCATCTTCATCCCTTGGGCCATGTAGAAACAGTACTGTGTGTATGATGACTGAGGTAACGTCACCTGCCGCTATCCCAGCAGCCCCAGCACGTGCTCGCCGATGCCCAGGAAATACACGCCCTGAGCGATGCCAAAGAGCGGAGCGATGACCAAAGCTCGACACGTTGCTCCTTTAAGAAACGCGGATGGTCCTTCTCGTTTTAAAACGCGCCTGTGAAAAGATTGCCATATAAATAACATGATACATGAATATGGAAACTGTATAGTACCATATAAGAAGTCAATACATGCAAATATAAAGCTTACTGTACGCAGTCGATGATGCCTCTGTAGGAGTCCTCTCCTTCCCCCTTCTGTAAGGTCTGTAGGCGGGTCTTTATAACTGAAAATGATAAATATTAATAGATTAATTAATATTTTTTAAATATTTTTATGATTTTAAGATCTGGTTTCCCAAATGCAGGTTATAACACAGCTGCACAGTAGTTAGTATGATTCATTTCCAAGAATTGTTTTTTTGCAAACAGTTCATTTCAAAGAACTGTTTAAAAAAAAAAAAAAAAGAAGAAGAAAAAACAATTTAGCAATTCTTTTGAAGGGATGGTTAATCCAATATGGGGGTCAATGGCTACCGTCAATTGAAAATAACTTCTTGTGTTTATCAGATGACTAAATTATCCCTTTAAGTCATGATGTTATTGTCATATGTTCCCTGACATACTACGTTCTCTAAAACCATATACAATTTATTTAATTTTTAATGTATTATTCTTAAATGCAGTGCTAATTGCTTGTTTATTCAATTATTTAATATAAAAAAGAAAAACATTCTCTGAAATATGATATTAAAGCCACATGTAGGATATCTCGTTTAAGTTTTATTAAAAAAGGTATTTATTATAATTTAATTTGTCCCAATTCAGCTTGTCGCAGCACGATTCACTTCATAACAAATGTAAAACTCTAAATAAAAGTCCAAATCTGAATAAGTCTACACTGAACAAGTCAATTTATCAAGTCAACAACTAATCAATTTATAAATACTCAATTTACACTTGTGAATTTTTAAATAATTTAAAAGTATTTGTTGACTCGAGAATATGCTATAAATAATTCAGATCCATGAACAAAATGGTCAGATCAGTTTTGTAAACCAGTTCAACTGATTCATATAAAAGTTCTGATTTAAAAAAAAAAAACATATTTGTTTAATAATCAACATTGCTACTGTATAGGTTCCCTTGGGGAATTCATGTGTTTATGGCTGATTCGTTTAAAAATTCCAAAAATAGAAAAAAACTCACATTTCTAATTTTGAAGCTGTTGGTTTTTTTAAATGTTAGTTAAACATTAATTAGATGTTTCTGCATAAGGACTTTAAGCACATAAACTTTAATTAGTGTCTGTGTCATGCTGTATGCTCCCCTTAAAAAAGTTACACAGGACTAATTAAATGTTGAAAAACTGGGTGATAGGTTTCCTGTATTCTATTTATGAGCTGCTAAACAATGTAATGTTGCAGACAGTACTGCCAAATCTTCAAATAGAGACACTGAAGCGGCTGCCAGTGTTTCCACTGTCCAAATAATCCTTCTGTACCCTTCACTGATGTTTTAGGTGACAAAGAATTGTCTCTCGGACGATACAATAGATGTAGAGACAAGCTATAAACAGAAAGCTTTCTGAATAGAACTTGAAAGCAGACTTTGCATGTTCTTCAAAGCAAATGAAATGCTTCAGTCTACACATCACAGCAGGATTCTTCCACAGCACATAGGCTTCACTAATTAATCACTCCGAAACAAAAGACTCATTCTGTGCCTTTATGAAATGCTGGGAGTAACCTAGTTAGGGAATAGTTTGGTAAAAATGTAGCCTACTCATAATTCATCACAAAAAGATCTTTTTAAGTGATTCATTCGATTAAGCTTCAGTACTAGAAGTAATCAGTACTTTTTCAAGAAATGTTAAAAATATTTTGAGTACTTGCGTAAAAGACTATAGAAGTACAAAAATGAATGTATATGTGTAAGTAACTATTTGTGGATACATCTGTTTAGTTCTTTTTTTTTCTCGCTAACATCGACAGATACAAAAATTTGTCATTGCAAATATATTGAGGAATACTGACAAATTTAGCATTCCCTTAAATTGAATTGATCACATCTGTTAACTGCAGTGCTGTAAAAATGCAGTAAAAATACTGAAACTATAAAAAATGTGTTAATTGAAATAAGGCTGAAATAAAATAAATAATAATATTTAATATATAATACTTATAAAATAACAAATATTAGGTAAGAAACTTAAACTAACTAATAAATAAACAAACAAACATACAAACAAAAATAGTAAATGTTTCTTTGGCAACTAACTGAAATAAAGTTGAGTTGAAGTACTAAAATAAAATAAAAAATAAATAAAGCTAAATATAAATATAAAATAAACTAATAAAAATGACAAAAGCACCTAAATTACTTTAACAAACGACCACTATAGTGAATATATATATATATATATATATATATTTATTTAGTGTCTGTTAGCCATACAAAAACCATAACAACTGACTATGAACACCCAACAGTTTCTCAGCAGCGCAGTAGTAGTGTTGAAACTGGATTAGCCCTGATTTTTACAGGCTTGGACGGCTCTGACTAACTGAATGGGACATTTATCTGCGTACATTTCCAAAGGAGAGAGAGCAAACTGTGTTCCTCTACTCCTCTCTTGCCTGCATCTCACCGTCCAGGGGAGTGACAGCTACTGCCGCCACTGAGCCGGCCGTGCAGCCAGCCACGAAAGACTGCAGGAAGGGGGCCCGCTCCTGGGGGTTGCTATGGCGATCCTCAGTGCGGCCCACGGCGTTGAGGTTGGCGAACAGCGGGAAGTAGATCATGGAAATTAAATTGAAAACTGAAAATACAAAAATAAAATCAAACTCAATATATTCACAAATAGAATATTATATAAAATACATATATTGATAAATATACTAGTAAATAAATAATATTAAATAATTATAATAAAATAAACGGCGTTGAGGTTGGCGAACAGCGGGAAGTAGATCATGGAAAACGGGACGTCCCTGCATAGAGAACAGACACAGAGCCACAGAATGTAGACATAGCTGCAGGACGTTATTGATGAGTCGTGATTGATTGCGGTGTCTGATTAGTTTTAGTCTGTAAATGTAAAACGTGAAAGTGTGAGTGTAGAAATATAATTTAGGCTGTGTAGGCCACAGACTAGAGACAACAGATTGGGTTCTGATTAGAATTCCGTTAAGAAGAGAATTCCGCCTACGGTTAATTAGCAGCTATGAATAACAGATCAGAACTGACAGCTGGCAGGTTACATCAGTTCAGCTGGGATTACATCACAGACTGCGGGGGAGGGGCTGTTTGGATAGGTGAGTGGGTTTATTTGTGTGGGAGGTGTTAAAGGTGAAAGGTCATGTGACATCCATCCTTTTGTAAAAAAAAACAATGCGTGTTTGCTGAGAGAGCAATCACTTAAGTTAGTTAAGACAGCACATCACTGAAGGTTTGGAAAATGATCTAGATGTTGATCGGCTAACATAGCTTAGTTCTTTTACTTAAAGGGATAGTTCACCTTCAGTTGGCCCCTATTGACTTGCATAGTGGGTTTTTTTCTATACTATGGAAAGTCAATGGGGACCAGCAACTGAAGGTGAACTATCCCTTTAGGTCAAATAACTAATCTATGTTAGCTGTTAGCAGATTCTGTTATTATTTATAAGGGTGGCATGTGGTCCAAATCTTTATGACTTCCTTTCTTCTATGGAACATAAAAGGTGACATTTTTAAAGAGTTTCTTGGCTTCTGTTACAATATAATGTAAGTGTATGATGATTGGGCTCTCAAAAGACAGCAAAGAATTTCATAAAAATTGTCCATATGACTCATGCACTATAAGTCATACAATAGATTTGTTTGATGAACAAACCAAAATTTAAGTTGTTATTCTATTAAAATATTCAGTAGGCATGTCCGATTCACGAATTAAAACCGATTCACACCAAGGACGATAATTCAAATGATAAAGTTCCATATCATAATTATAATGATTATGACACACAGTAAAGATGTCATTGGAATCACTTCAGAGCTATTTTTTTCAACTTGTGAGTAATAAAAACATAGACAGCCAATCAGAACCACTCAATTTTAAAGAGCTCAAGCATTTAAAGCAAAAGAAAACATACGACTACTGTATACTGATGTAGACACTAATCTAGATATCTTCATAGTTAATATTCTTGGTGTGAACAGACCACCATAAAATTAAAACGGACAGTTTTATTAGATTTCATTTTATTTTATTTTAATCCAGTATTGCAGTGTTAATTATAAATGATTCATCCATGCACAACATTATTCAAAAAAAATTCTGTCAATTCATTTAAATCAATTCCCTATGGACAAAAACAAGTCATTTTTTTCTCATTCAAGGAGTGGTTTCACTTATACAAATATATAGGGAAGAAAGATGATCGCAACTTCCATTTAATGCAGACTTTGATATGTCGTATGAGTCTGATCTTTGCAATTAATTTGTTGATCTAGTTCACAAAACCAATTTGAACGATTTGTGTACAAATCAAACTGATTCGATTCTTGAATTCTAACTGATTCAGTGAACCAGTCATAAAGGCTGACTGGAGGGAAAGATTTGAATGAATAACAATTTAAAATAGAGTCTATTCATGACTAAATGATGATTTGTATTGCTTCAGAAGACTGAAGTTTTACTTTTACGGTGCTTTTGGTTTCTTTTTTGACCTTGAAAGCTCCATTACCAATATGTTCAAAATTGATCCTTTTATGTTCCACTGTAGAAACAAAGTCATGCAGGTTTTTTGGAGTAAATGATGACAGGATTTTCATTTGTAAGTGAAGTACTCCTTGAAAACATCAAAAACATTCCTTATAGTCCATATTACTATTGGTTATATGACTGATTGTCTGTTACCTCATCAATGTAGCACCTGCTCCCTTATAAAGTCCCCTGAGGCCTCGGGTCTTGAGTAGCTCCAGGGTGATACGGGTCGCTGAGGGTTGAGGAGGGGCGTTGGTGCCCGGCTGTGCTGCCCGAGAGGCAACCAGCGAGGGGGTCGGACCAGTGGCAGAGGCAGAGGCAGCGACAGTCCGCTGAGCAGCTTGTGAAGACAAAAGTGGAGAAGTTACAACTCATATCTTCAATATCATCTTTATATTTTATCTTGTAGTGTAATGAAACTGGAACTGCTGTTCGGTGGACACCATTCTACTCAAACAGCTTATTTCTGGCTAACCTTTGTACTTAGTAAGGCATCCTAAGATAGAGACCTACATACCTTGGATGACACTCACGGGAGCATAATAAACACACTTACCCAACCTTCCAGCATCCTGCAGTTGTATTTTTAGCATTTCCATGGGGGTGGTGACTACCACCTGACAGGTTCCGGCTCCACAGCCCGCAAGGATTTCCCCCCACAGAGCTAATTTTCTGTGGGTGACAGATACAATGACAGATGGGACAGATGAGAGCATGATCATTATTGCATTTACCAAAAAAATTATTGCTTAGATTAGTCAGCTGGTGACCTAAATGCCTCTGTGGAATAGCTTATAGATAATGTTTTCTAAGGTCTTTGTTAAGAAACATAGTAAAACAGTTGCCTGCACTGTTTTCCTAAAACCGCTATTGAATCCACACTATACTGAGCCAGTTCTTTTCAGCAGATGAGAAACATCCAGCACAACACAACCAGTGCAGCCCGACACTCAAACAATTTACTCTAATTAGCCAATTTATTTTAGTGAATCAGAAACATACAGTGCAACCAGTGAGGTTCGATTTCTAAACAATGACTCTAATGAGCCGATTCATTTGAGTGAATCAGTAACATACAGCACAACCAGAGTAGTCCGATTCCTGAACATATGACTCTAATGAGCTGATTCATTTTAGGGAATTAGAAAAATACAGCACAACCAGAGCAGTCAGATTCTTGAACATGACTCTAGTGTGCAGATTTTTTTTTGGTGAATCAAAAACATACAGAGCAACCAGAGCGGTCCGATTCCTAAACATGACTCAAATTAACTGATTGGTTTTAGTGAATTAGAAACATACAGCACAACCAGAGTGGTCAGATTCTTGAACATATGACTCTAGTGTGCCGATTCTTTTTAGTGTATCAAAAATATACAGTGCAACCAGAGCAGTCCGATTCCTAAACAATGACTCTAATGAGCCGATTCATTTGAGTGAATCAATAATATACAGCACAACCAGAGCAGTCCGATTCCTAAACAATGACTCTAATGAGCTGATTCATTTTAGTGAATGAAAAACATACAGTGCAACCAGAGCCATTGAGTTCTACAGTAAAATGAAAGTCATACAGGTTTATAACAACATGAAAGTAAGTAAATGATGAAAGAATGCTCATTTTTAGGTGTATTATTCCTTTGATTCCAATGTGACCGTTCTTTTCAGTGAATCAGAAACATACAGCTCAACAAGTGCGGTCCGATTCATGAATTAATTAGCCAATACTTTTAGTAGATCAAACACATACTGCTTTCAACTAATTGTGAGATTTAATTTAGTATAGCTTTTTTAGACAAATATAATATGTGGAAGTGTTGCAGAAATTCATTCATTCATGCAGTCATTATTTTTTTTCAATTCCGCTAGTGCTGCAGAATTTTTTTCTTTATATTTTAAACTGTAATGAGATACTTGCTTTTATAAATGGTTAAAAAGTGGTGGTTACCCATCTTTGGAGAGCTTCTGTCTGAAGACATCATTGGCAGCCAGTTTAATGGCTTTCTCTGGAGTGACCAGTGTAAGATTCACAGCTGCACCTGAGGAAAAACACCGTAAAGTGAAATTCTGAGAATGTAAACATAAGCAACATATCCCAGAACATGTAAACAATTAAAACTATTAATATTTGAAATAAAACTGTCCTCAATAACAGCAGGAACGTGCAACATGGTGGTAAATTAAATTTAGATTTTAGTATTGAGTCAGTACAAGTCAGCACTAGACAAGAAAAGAAAGTTCATACCTCGGTACATGCCAAAGTAGCCCTCCATTTTGATCGTCTTTGCCAAACAGTCCAGCCTTCATAACAAGACAGAAATGTTCGACATGATTAATTAAATACTCCAATCTGGTTGTGAAATATCCTAACTGAAATATAATGAAATCACAATTCATTATAAAATATCCCTAACAAATGCATTATAATGTTGTATTCTATTCCTTATTAATGTAATTTATCAACCAGAATAAATCTCTTAAACACCGAAACCGAAATGTTCTCTATGTCTGTGTATAATGAACAGCCAAATTAGACATTCACAAAGAATTCTTAGAGGAGTGAGTAATGTGCGGAAGAAAGAGCTTAAAACATAGCAGCCTGTCTCTTGCCCACAAACCACTTGGGTATTTCGCTTGTTACATAAGTGTACAAAGAAGAAAAGAGCTCCTTACGCACCATCACTACAAAGAGTACTTCTCTTCATCTCAATGGTATCACACATGCATAAAGATATCTTAGAGCAAGCTACTTAAAAAGGGATGAAAAAACATTTGGGAGCGTGAACAGATCAAAGATGCAAAAGCATCAAGACTCAAGTTGTTTTGCATCTTCTGAGTGAGTCATTCAATAAAATCCAGACAAAGTCCTCCGCCCAGAGTAAATCACTAACACATGTTGCGTTCACGATTCACTTTATTTGAGTGAAACCATAAGCAGTTGTTTTTTAGATTCAGAAATGTTTTTAAAAACTGCACAAAAACAAGTACACACAGGGCCATAAGAACTTTTAATGCAATGCAAAAATTTCATGGATGTTAAAGGATCTTAATGCAACCACAGATTCCAATTAAGAACCTTTATTTTTAAAGTGTACCTTCAAATCAAGAGACCCCAAAACAAAGTGGGGGATAGTTATTGGATCTCATAAAGATGTTGAACTCACATTCCACTATAAACACGAGCACCCTGCTGGTTTTGGAGGCGGGTCTTGGCGAGGTCAATGGGAAACACGCAGGTCACGCCCACCAGTCCAGCCACACCCCCATTAATCAGTTTAGCAGGGAGGCTGTGAACACCAGGAAACAAACACGCACATGCAGGACAAAAACCACACACAAAAACATGTCGATATAATGGCTTAGATGGATCTCAAATGGTATATCCGACATCAGAGGAAGTGGAAAATTTACCTCACTTTCTTCTCGGCCATTTTGGCCACACTTTAACTGATTTCCTCCAATTCTTCTCTCTCTGCTGCAAAAGTGTCAGCACAAACCATCCACGACCCACCCGGACAGCCTTCTGGCACGGTGTGCCAACCTTCACACCCTTCCTTTTAGGATGAACAGCCACTCTTTGGGAAAAATAAATCACCTTGGAACTTGCTGTTAACCAAGAAACAAGAGAAATACAATTCAGGATAGCTGTGATTTTTTAGAATAACACGCAATATTTCTGCAATAATAATAGACTTTCCATTGCTTGCACAATCAACTGATTTTACCCTCTGAATAGTGCTTTTCTATGGTGCACAAAGAGAGAACATCCTCCTTCCTAAAGTCTCTCTAATCTTGCTGCTAATGAGGTTGTGACCTCTTGAATTAATCTAGAGAAGAGAGCTAACAGGTGAGGGGCTTATCAACAAGATTTCCTGTTCTTCAACACAGTAACGTTTGTAAAAAGATGCAAATATAGACATCTTATAGAAAATCTTATGTCAGCATATCAGTGCTTTTAGTTTTCTAGAGTAGATGAATGTAAAGTATTGTAAACTTTATTTGAGTAGTTGACACATTTTTTTATTCATAATTTTTCTGGTGAAAATTTACACAAGTATAAGGAAATCTCTATATCTTCCTGTAATTAACAAAAAAAATTTAAAGTAACGCTTTATAAAAAGCTTATAGTAGTTAATGTTGGTTACTGCATTGATTAACATTAACTAACAGTACAGTGGTTACAGTATTCATTATTTTGATTTAATTTATTATTATTTATATCTCAGTTAACATTAGATAATAAAAATACAACTGTTCAGAGTTAGTTCATGTTATCTTGGTTCCATTAAATTATATTAACATATACAACTTTTGATTTTAATAATGTACTGTTACTATTAACATTGACTAAAATTATTAAATGCTGTATAAGTATTTTTGATTGTTAGTTCATGTTAAATAATATTGTTAGTAAATGGAACCTTATTGTAAAGTGTTACAATATTTAATCATTTAAATATTCTCACAATTAATAAGGTGACATAAACTGCAAACATAACAATTACAGAAATGAATTTGAAGTTTAAAATAGTTTTGAATGGAAGTCAAACCACTGAAGCCACTTGAAATTTTGTCAGCTACTCATTACTGCAGGATTTCGTTACACTTTTTCATTGGGTCACTCTTTTTCTTGCTTTCTCTTTTCCCTCGCTTGTCCTAAAGTCCCCCTCTCATAACCTTACTCTTGTGTATGTTTCCATTAACTCTCACCTAATTTGGGGTACCATTCTCTCTTTTCCTCAGGCATACTCACATCCTCCCTTTTCTCTGTCCCTCTCTCTTCCTCTCGCTCTGTCTTTTCTGGAGCCCAGTGGCATTCTGAGCATGCCTTTCTCTTCAGCACTGCTTTCTTTCAACCCTGCTCTATTCATACCCCTCCACTGCCAAAACACAGACAAGTGAGATCTGGCCCACCTCCCCATCCTAAAGCGCTCGCTCACTAAGACTTTCCACAACTACCCCAAACAGATCCCCCCTCACGCAAGCCTGCATATTTGAACAATTCACAAGTTTGAGAGAATGATTATCATGTTCTTACCTCTGTCAGTGCATTGACCGGTTGGATCAAGCCGTCCACTTCCCCCTCTGCACGCTCGCTGACAATGTGTGCAGCAGCCGTAGTCAGGCACGAGAGATCCGACAGAGCCAGCCGCCACTCAGGGGCCGTTGCACAAACACAAGCATTGTCCCTCCGTGCTTAAGTCCCTCCCTCTTGTGGCGACTCCCAGTGACATAGACAGGGAATGAACAGCTTTCCACTAATGAAACTTGACACATATTCACACACAAACACAAGCATGCACATTGCATTACACAACTTCATCTCAAATTACAAAAAAGTACCACATTAATATTATTATATAAAAAAAAATCATTTTAAAAGTACGCTTTTAAAGGAATTATAAGTTTAATTAATATATATATATATATATATATATATATATATATATGAATATATT